GTGCACTAATGGAGAGATGTCAGAGTGACGGAGCCGCCCCCGGCAGGCCGTCCTGAGCTGGTGGTGGTGGGGGGGGGGGGGTTCGGTGCCTTGCTCAAGGGCACCTCGGCAGTGCTCAGGAAGCGATCTGGCACCTCTCCAGCTACCAGACCATCTTCCAGATTTTGTCCACACCGGGACTTTGAACCGACCCAACTTCCCAACCCAAGTCCCTACAGACTGAGCTACTGCCGCCCCAAAGGGGTAGTAAATATGAAAATTCACTAAATCGCATTTGAACTGTCTTCTTTCGTTCCCGACATCCGTCACATTCTTCAGTTCCTTGGTCACACCGTATTGTTAGCGTGCAACAGCTTTTAACTCTCTGCTACACTATTGTGGAATGGTAGGAACCTAAACAAAGTGCTGCTTGCAAATTTGTGGCAAGACTTTACAGCTTAGGCGGCAGGATGGCCTGGCGGTTTCATCACACGCCCGATGTGTCGCCGCAGCGGCTTGGGGTTCAAATGCAACCTCGGCCCTTTGTTGCATGTCATACCCCTTCTTGTCCTCCCAACATTTCCTGTCTCTCTTCCTATAAATGCAAAAACCCTAACCCAAAAAAATAACTTTAAAATATTTGTTTTACAGCTGCACATCGGTATTGGCTGACACCGGCCCTGTTGAAGGGCATCGGCCTATCGTCAAATGTCATGGGTGCATGATGTCAGTGTCCGATGTGTATCTGTTGTGTCACATCGATTTAATGCTGGCAAGCTAGTATAACTCAGAGGTTTCTCATTGGACAGGAGAAGTCACCTGTTGGACACACATTGGTGGGTCTTAACAGCATCTCTGGGACTGATCAGCGACATGCAGTGTGTAAGAGGAGGGAGCTCTAACAACAATTAAAAAACATCAAACGGCAGCGCTCATTTGAAAAAGAGACACGAAAAAATACAATGAAGTAATGAAGAAACATAGGAATCATCTATCTGATGAATTGTTATGAAATCATCTGCATTACTGTGTCAGCGATGATTTTCAAATCCTAATTAAACATCCAGCTTCTGCCACTCTGAAATGTATTGCAGAACACAGGATCAAAAATAAAATGGACAACTTCATTACTTCATTCAATTTCCCAAAATCTAAAGAAACAATTCTTTGGTTTTAAAAAAAGGATTACGTTCCACTGGATGAAGACTAAATCAACTCACCCTCGGCCCGTCAGGCCCAGTTTGACACTCTTTCCGAGCAGGTAGCAGAAGAAGGGCAGAGCGTGGTACAGCTCCATCTGTTTGTAGTTGAGAGCCAGACAGAAGGCCATGGAGCCAAATGCATCCCAGCCCAGACCCAGAGCCAGAACGCCCCACAGGGCAAACCCCAGACTCACTGCGTTGTACCTGATATGGTTAAGATCAATGTTGTGCTCTTTGATACGGTCATGCCTTTTTCACTTAACGGTGATAAACAACTCAATGTTCTGATACGTGACAAAAACAGCAGCTGATCCAAGCTCAGTTTATGAGCCCTAAAATATTTCACAGTTAGGATGAATAGAGTCTTATGACACAGATTTATCGGTATCAGAATATGAAACCGGGACAACAACACTGCATAAGTGAAGAGAGCTTACTTTGCCCCCACATCAATGCCCAAAGTTTCTATCCATTCAGTCTGCAAAAACTGAGCTTTTTTTTTTTTTCAGGAAGTCTAAAAAGGCACATGATGCTGCTGCTGGCTACAAAGTGTTTCCACATCCGATTTTTGGTTTACCAATGCCCTCAAAGTATAATTTGTTCAGTGGTTAGCAACTACACACACGTGTTTGAACGTTTCAAGGATTATGAAACTTACAAAATGAATTCAATATTTCACTCAGTTCATCTTCAAGTGCTTCAAATGTTTCCTTCATGGTACCATCCACCTGATGTGAGTCGGCATGGAGCTTTCAATACAAGGCAAGTTATCGAAGCACAACATTTAGCATGAAAATGATATAATAGAGAACAAGAGCAGGGATGCACTTGTGCTTAAAGGATACTGGAAAATGGCCGTAGTCAATGAGGATAAGCCCCGGGTAAAGAAGGAAGAGGAGCACAGTGGAAACCTGTAGAAAAGGAGTATTTAGAAAACCACTTAGGTTCAAAAACCTCATATTCTCACATTTTCTGCTTTTGGTTTGCATGCATTATTAATCATTAGCATAACATGTGCATGCATAAGTCTCGTTTCCTGTATGTTAATGATGAGTTTCTTTGATTTTGTTATATTTCAACATCATTAAGGTGGAGGCTTTAAATAAGTGCTGTGAGTTTTTTTGCCTCTTCCTGCAGTGACAGACGAGTAAAAATAACAGATTGTCTCATGGAGGTAAATATCTTTGTTGTTTGTGTTTTAAAGAGGACAAACTTTTCAAACAGTCCCCCTGTGGTCTAAATGAAACATCTGTGCTGTGCTTTGGTCATAATATTCTTTTACCAGAATCCCATTGTGACATCATAAGGAGAGCACATTTGAAATGGAGCATTTTCATTTCACATTTTGTGGGTCGGTCGACACAGGTTAACCAAATGTATGTTCAGAAACACTAATAGTGGAATTTTCATAATACCACATGTCCCCTTTAAATAGAAAACTATTTTTTTTCTCAACTCTAAAAATGCGTCTGGTATCCAACCAAAGTGCATTGGTTGTATGTCAGGTGTTATCAAAATAAGGGGACGTGATTTTTAATAACTTAAATAAACTTTGCAGACTTTAAAAGGGAGATGTTAATGAATAAAAGGCTTTCTTTTATTCTTTATAACGGTCCACAGTTATTACTTTTATACCTCATGAGGTGCCCTCTTAACAAAGATCAATAGCTGATCTTGTCATAACCTTTATAAACTGTATGTTTAAATGTATACTCCCTGACATGCAGTTATTACAAAGCACAGTGGGGCTCGCTTCACAAGGTAGAACTTTTCAATGTCTCAGTAAGCGTGTTACCTTTCTTTTAGAGGATCCATCAGTCAGGTAAAAACAGTAAACAACCACAGCCGGGAAGAAAATCAACAAATCAGCCACCAGAACTGAAACACACAAGAAATACCAGCAGATGTAATGTCGTTAGCAACATGTTCACACTACTCAGTGTAGCGTTATTTTCACAGCACTGCACGATTACAGTAGATCTTATAACGCCAACAACAACACCAACAACAACAACAACAAAAACACACAATCTCAGCAGTACACTGATCTCTATTCTGTCATTGCACAGTCATTAGAGTAAATGAATAAATAAAGAAATCTTATCCTAAGGTTGAGGTTGACCCTTTCTCTTCCAGGTGTTACTGTACCTGTAGCCCTCATGAACAACTTGTGTGCTGGACTTTCATAACCTCTGGATGTGTGCAGCTCCACCCATTCAGGGTTAATCATCTTGGCTCTGCGGGGGGGAAATATAGATAATAATATTAAATATGAATAAAAAGAGAAGTTTGTAAATAGCAGTATTCTGTCTCTGTGTGTACATATATAGATAGTATACTCACACGTAAGCACAGATCAGGCTGTGGTAGGCCGTCAGAGGAGGATAGTCCAGACCCCAGTACAACAGGTCATTGTCAGTGGTGTTGAAATACCTGGAGGAGACAAAGTGGCACATGCACTCTGAAGATTTAGAAGTGTCAGATTAACACTCGTGAAAACAGCAGTGCAGCTTCTGTTCCACGTACAATTAAATAATTGATGTTGCATTGAGCTGACTTGTACATCATCACTGTTCTTATATGCATGAGAACTAAGTGTGTACTTTCATCTTTTCACATTTTGATGACTTTCTTTTCTTTACTAGCATGCTTCAGGGCTGTAACGCCCTATAATGTAATGCCATCCAAGTTGATTTTTTTTGCATCAAAGCCTCGTTTCATCCATATAATGGTACACAGTGATCAATGCTTCATATGGAGAACTTTTACTGCTGTTCTGGATTTGCGCCTGAAATACTGCACCCAGTAATTATTTGTTTTTCAGTGTAAAGAAACAAAACAGAACAGACAATATGAATCCCTCTTTAAAAAACGCACATAAACACAATATTCATTACAAAAATTAAGTTTAGAGAACAAAAAAAAAAAAGAAACAGTCAATGGATTTGTAAATTGTTTTTATATCTCTATGTACACACACACACACACACACACACACACACACACACACACACACACACACACACACACACACACACACACACACACACACACACACACACACACACACACACACACACACACACACACACACACACACACACACACACACACACACACACACACACACACACACACACACACACACACACACACACACACACACACACACACACACACACACACACACACACACACACACACACACACACACACACACACACACACACACACACACACACACACACACACACACACACACACACACACACACACACCTCAGCAAACCCAGTCAGAAAGAATAATCTTTTTAACCTCGGTTCAGGGTCAGCATCTGTCACAGCCTCGTAAACTTAGTTTGATTTTTAGACTTACCAATAAATATCACTGATCATTTTTGTCATGTATTTCTGTGAAGAACAGAAGGCTGTGGACAGTATTTACTTTCTGATTGTTAGAACACTTGATTACTGATATAATCAGCGGCCGCAGCTAGAGATGGGACAGATCTGATCTGATACAACGATCCACGTCACCCCCTCCTGAAAAGATGGTTGGGCGGTTTAAATCATTCTCGGCTCGTTCAGTCTCGCTTTGAAGATGTTCAGACTGAACTGTAGGAAGTGCTCGCAAATCGTCTCCATGGCGACGATCAGACCGGATGGAGCAGCTTCTTCTATGTGATCAAAAGTACAATTTCTTACACTTCAGTTTAAAAGATGTAATTTGGAAAAACCTGACTGTTGTTGTTGCTTCCTGTCTGCATGTGAAGCACAAAGTTCAGATTACATTTCTTAAGGATACATTTTTTTTACTTTTATGCATTTTCATTTATTATTGTTAATTTTTTGCTGTTTTAATGAGAAATGCAATGTTGCATTGTGTAGTCTTTAAACATAATACATTAATAACAATATTAATTATGATAAAAAGCAAACATTGCCTATCAGTCCACATGTATCGGAAACAGATCAGAACTGTAAAATAGTGGATCAGTGCATCTCTAGCTGCAGAAGTGATACAACTTGAGGCACCTTCACTGACTCCATGCATGCACACAGAAGTGTTTTCTTGTGTTTGATCGTCACAGAGCTTCTCACTGGTTTCTCACACTTGCTCCACTGAGTAAAACAAATGAAGCTTCAGACTGACCATTCCTGCGGAGGGAGGTTGTAGGTCACTTCTTGCCAATGCCTTTGAGCTTCGTAGTCGCCAAACATGGGAGGTTTCCCCGCCCCTGGAGGAAAAACACCTCAGCTGTTAGTCTGGTGAATGGGAAACCTCATGCATGAATGAATGAATGAATGACAGTGAGACATTACACACAACTTATCCAGCCAGGATGCTACAACAGGCAACCTCAACATTTATACATTTAATATAGCTTTAAATACATATTAAGCCATAATGGAGAGGTGCATTAGTGCAGAGAAAACATGACAGTGGTTCTATCTCTGCATGATGCCGCATGTAAACACACTTCCTACCTGAATATGAATTCAACGAAACGCCCCATCTCGTGACAACTCCGAGCAACACGCAGATCGACACGAGACTCCACGTGTGCATGATTCAGAGGACTAAAATAAGCTCAGGTGGGAGAAATGAAGGCTAAAAATGTGGATCACTTATTGAAGCCTGTTTTGTATTTCCTGTATACGTCATCACCCGTCAAGACTTTCGTTGCGCGTTTTCATTGGGCCCTGCACGCGGACGTAGACGGTTCTGAAGCAAGAGGCGTTCAATGACACCTCGAGAAAGACGACTTTTTCCGTTCCGCGACATGATTACGGCGTATTTAGGTAAACATTGTTAAATTACATTATTTTAACAGTCGATATTGAAGAGAGAGACAGCGTTTTATCTGAAGATTTTAAAATATGGTTACATAGACTGTGAGTTACGTCGTTGTTTTTTTGTTTATTGTTTAACACTCCATATATTTTCCCATTTTTATGAACGCAACATATGTTTAAAAAAGGTTTATGACAGAAATATGGATATTGAAAGTTATTAAAGGCCCTGTTTGTTCACTCCTATCTTAAATAAATATATTTCTGGTTGAATTTAGTGGTAAGGACATGAAGAAGAGTTTTTCCTCCAGCAGAAAATAATCATTTTTTTAAACTAAGAAGGCTCATAACATGATATTTATTGTGGAACAATTACCAAACATGATTAATCGACCACATTATACCCCATTTCTAACCACTGCTAATAAATTCTTTAACTATCAGATCAGGGTCATAAGCCTGCCATATTCTGCATGCCATTTTAACTAGCAAATAAACATGAGATTTTCAAGATTGGCTAAAAAAGATGGTGTCTAAAAACATAGGAATATTTCATTTTCACTGTTGGGATAACAGACGTTTATTGTGGTTTTCTTAACTTTTCTTTTTCTGATAACTAGACAAAGTTACAGAGTTACATGAAATACTGCCTGCTACAACAAATACAGCCTTGAGATACTGCGGTCAATTGAAGAACAAATGAGCGAAAATGTTCAGAAAGTTAGCTCAGAAACACTTTGATATCTTTTAATGAATTCCTGATGTTTATTTCAATATGTTTTGAGGGATTAAAATATGGTAGTATGTCTTGAAAACCTGTAAGTCATGTGATTTTAAATGTTTATTGCAACTGACCAGGACATCTAACTGCATGTGTAAACCAGTATAGGACCAGTTGTCTCCAGTGTAGTGTCCAGTGTAACTGGTTTGTGGAGACCTTTTGTACACAGATTTGTGTTGTACAGTGCAGACCTCCCCTTCCCTTTCTCCTCACAATGTAAATCTCCGCCCAGGGGCTTCTTCTCCTCCGTGACCTTATCTTCTGTTGACGCCGTCTTTGTTCCCAAGGTGTTGGGATTTGCCGGCTGAGACACGTTCCTTGTGGTTGTGGCATCAATTATGCATAAATAATAATAACCACGGACAACTGCTGATTTGCAATGACACTTTCATTACAACGGCGGCGGCCGATAACTCACTGGTGGCCATTAGTTATTAATGCCCGGCCACGCCAGCTTTACTTTGTCATTTATTGCTTCATCTCTATGCCTTTTTAAATATTCAGTAACTGCTGTACCTACATTTACTGTCTGTGATCTCCACCCAGGAGAAGGCTATAGCTTGTGGTGGAGGATGACCTAGTTATTATGGAGGCCTATAGGCCTTGCTCGCCAATGTCATAGCAGTCCATCATGTACACAGTCAAGTTCGCTGTAAGTCAGACGTGATCTTATCGGCTGTTTTGATCCAAGTTTGGACTCTTAATAAAAGAAAACATATAAAGACATGTAATTCAAACCTCTTTTCTTCTCCTTTCATTACTGTGTGTTATTTTATTCATGATTTCTGAAAATATAGAAGTAGTTATGGGACACCCCTCTTCTTTTATGTTATGACCTCCTTACTCAAAATCTTTGCACCAAGGCTCAAAACATGGAGACGGAAAACATTTAGGGAAGACACACAGATTGAAAGGTTCAAACCTAAAGATGTATTCAACATAAATTCCCCCCAGAATACTCCAAATATAAATCAATCAATCGATGTTTATTTGTACGGCGGCAAAGTGTTATCTCGAGACACTTCACCAGAATCCCACTTGTGAGGTCACAAGGAGAGCAATTTTGAAACGGAGCATTTTTCTCTGTCTTTTAAGACTTATGCAGACCACAAAGAAAGGACTGGATGGGTTTATTTCACATTTTGTGGGTCGGTAGACACTCCGGTTACCCAAATACATGTTCAGAAACACTGTAAAAGAGGATTTTTCTTAATATTTCCCCTTTCACAAAGACCTGGCATTAATCCATCATGAGCGTAGCACTTAGCAACAACATTAAGCAAAAGTTACAGCGGCAAGACCTCAGCAATAACAGAAGGTTCTTACTTTTGTAACACGCAGGCTGCTTTTAAAATTCAGACCAATTTAACAATGAGTGCACCAATGATGTGTATTTGTGCAAATATATATCTTAAAGTTTTCGAAAACATCCAAAGTTTACTTTATGAATGAAAACCTTAAATAAGCATAAACATATTAAAGACCATTTCACATGTATTTAGAATTGTATTTATATTTAGTAAAGTGTCTTATTGACAGGAGTATTGTATTGCTGCTGAAAGTGAGACCCATCTGGTTCTTATTTAAAACACAGGTTATAGAGTCATCATGTAATCCTGTCTGATATTAACTGACTCAACAAAAAGACACAGAAGTCTCCCATCATCAGTCCCTAAAAGAAACACACTTCTACATAGCAGTAGTGCTTTCCCTTCTTCATTGTATAGATACTCTGAACTGTATCGTTAATTAAACACGAGGAAAAGCCAGCAGCATTCACGTCGTGTTAACAGTCCCTTCTATTCTTTCTGAGAAAAAAAAAAAACACTCTGTTCTCCTTATTCCAGAAATACTAGGTGTCAAAATCGAGTGAGATTCTGATTCAGTAGACTCTGTCTGATGGACGTGCCAAAGTTATACATTCCTTCCTTTTCTTGTTATCAGTTATTTATGTTCAATCAGATATTTTAATATGTACCGGTAGTTCAGGTTAAGTTAATATATGGACTCCTTCTCTATGTACAATCTGGTTCAGCAATCTTCAAATGATGTCCCCTTGAAATGTAAAGTCTGGATGTGTGACTCTGCAACAACAAGCGTTGTATTCCCCTAAAGATATACAAAACACCTCTATGCTGCTTTGCCTTTATTGGATAGGACAGCTGAAGAGAGGCAGGACATGTTGGGAGGAGAGAGAGCGGGGGGGGGGATGATACAGCAAAAGGGCGAGGTAAGATTTTAACCCACGGCCGTTGCAATGAGGACTATAGCCTCCATCCATAACCACTACACTATCCAGCACCACATTTACCAAACACTTCTAACTGTCCACTTGTAGACATGTAGACAGTGGAACTACAAAGACAAACCCTAAATGTTAAAGGGTTACCATTGGCGCTTCATGTTAATGTTGACTCAATGACTCCTGAAGAGCTTTGATTTTGAAAACACATCGATGATGGCTAAAGCGTTCAGCTCAGTATTTATGTTCGATGAAGCTGATGGTTTTAGTGTTTGGACAATGAGGGATATTCAAAGGTCTAACAGGGATCATTCAGAAACTGAAAAATATCCTCAAAACGTCACATCCAAAGGAGTACACCCTCTACTTCAGAGCTCATGCTACTAATACACATTGCAAATATAGATAAACATAACGTAAGCCTAATTATGGAATACCGCTTCAACTATTAAGTCAAATTAAAGTACACTTGATAAAATAAGCATTTGAGAGCTGCTGTAATTTGCTCCAAGTGTTGATGATTATTTAATTGATCAGTTAAAGAAAGTACATCACGAAATGTTCACTCTAACCTCCTGTTTCCAATCAGATTAGGTGTTCCCCAACATTTAAGAATGACTCATTCACAGATTAATGAAAAAGGGCAACTTTTGGATGCTTTTCATCAACCTGGACTTTTGTTTTTTTTCCGACTTAACTCTGCACTGTTGCATGATAAACTGAGGGCTCCACAGTAATCACACTTATTAAAAACAGTATAGCTTATCTGTCATGGTGACCACGCTTGCTTGGTACTGTAGAAACGTTGACTTTCTATGATACCTTGAAGAGACTGACATTCTCAAAATCACATTAGCAATGTGGGCTACGCCACAGCATGATGATGACGACCCTTACTGCTGGTCATAATTATTGTAACGTTACACAACTCCATGAATATCAGGAGCAGTCCTCCTGAAATGATCTAGATAGTTGCAGGAGTGCAGCGTATGTGAAAACAGCTTTAGACGACTGAAAACACTGTCATGACTTAACCTTGTCCAACATATCCAAAAGTGCAAACATAATATGCAATGAGCCTGGATTAAAGAACATATCAAACTTGACTTTTCCAATCTCGCAAACCTTCAATCAAAACACCAACATGTAAAAATCCTTATTAATATCACATGTTGAAATACTCTTATCCAAATGAACTGTTGTGTTAATTAAGTGTTTGTTAATTTACTCAATGAGCTCATGAGTTCACTGGCCACCCACGCACGCACACACACACACACACACACACACACACACACACACGCACACACACACAATATGGAGACTGATATAGACTGGCTGCTGGGGCTGTGGGAACCTCCGTCCAGACTTCTCTCCACCTGTGCGCACAGGCACGTGCAGCTGCATAGGTCATTATCGAGGGCGCGAGGATTAGAGTGAGTGAGTGTAGGCGCGCGAGGGAAACTCGTCCAATCGGCACATTGTGTTGTTGGCTACGTAATGAGCAGAAACGCACGTAAACATTTTATTTTTTGTTTAAAGACAATTACCTAATTTGATTTAAAAACACCGAATAAATGAGCAATGATGTCATCTCATTGTTTTGGAAGGGAACAAATTAGACCTACTCTACCTAAATCTTTTAAGGGTAAATGAAATAGCCTATCTCTTTTAATATTATATCTCACAGCCGGATATGAATATTACAATTTCGCTAGGCTACTATTTTTTTTTTGTTTGGCCTTACGTTCTTGTTCACGTCGTTACGGTCACGTTAGGTCTGCTACCTTTCAATGCTGTCCTTTCTCATAATCTGAAACCCTAAAGTAAATCCACATTAACAAAAAAAGAAAAATTCCCT